TGTATTTCTTACCAGAGGGACTGGGGTTAGGTAGGGGTCCCACTAGGTCGACTGCTACCCTGCTAAATGGTTCCTCGATCACAGGCATAGGTAACAGTCGAGCTTTAGGGTGATCCCCTCTCTTCCCTACCCGTTGGCATACGTCACAAGTACTGCAGTAACGTCGCACATCCTTCGAGATCCCCGGCCAAAAGAAGGTCTGGGTGATCCTGAAGGTGGTGCGGTTACCCCCTAGATGTCCTGCCAACGGAATGTCGTGGCCAATTCGGAGAAGTTCCAACCGGTACTTTTTGGGTACCACCAGTTGACGCTTCTGCGAAGGGGCACAGCCTCTCTTTCTACCTTCCGCCAGTCTGTATAACCTGTCCCCATCCCATAGAAAACTTTCCCGTCCGTCCCCCCCACTGTCAGCTAATTCTCGATACTTTTGGAGGGTGGGGTCCTCTCTAGTTTCCCTCCCAAACTCCTCTGGGGTGTCCCAAGCTATGGGCCTGCTTATCGTAGTGGGGTGACATGTGGGTGCTTGGCTTACCTGGGTCTCCCGGCCTGTATTAGGGTCATCTGCGACACGGGACTGTGACCGGGTGGTTACGGGGCAGGCGGCCGCAGGTGTGGGCAAATATGCTGAAGTTAAAGGTCCAATGTCATTTCCCAATACGACCTCGGCAGGCAAGTTGTCCATAATGCCGACGGTGGTCTTTCCTGATCCAACTCCCCAATCTAAGTGTACTCGGGCAGTGGGCAAGCGAAAAACAGCGCCCCCTGCGGCCCGAACAGCAACAGTGCGGGTAGACACATCCTCCGGCTTCACTAGGTGTTTTTGGATCAAAGTGATGGTAGCCCCGGTGTCTCTTAGGCCTTGTGCTGTTTGTCCATTCACCTTAACCTCCTGTCGGTGATGTTGTCGATTGTCTGGGGAAGCAGCTTGTATGGGGTCTGCTTCATACAAAATCCCCAGACATTCTTCAGGGCCCATTTCGGCTTCCAGACAGTGAGCCGCAGCGGGTCGTGCTGCAGGGGCCTCGGTGCTGGGAGTTGTGCGCCTCCAGTTGTTGTTACTGGATCTTAGGGGACAATACCGGGCAATATGTCCGAGGTTGCTGCAGTGATGGCACGTCACCTTTGACAAATCCCGGGGGTAGTTAGTAGGCCCCTGAGGCCGGTGGTCCTGGTGGGACTGGAGCTCGAAATTCTGGGCGTGAGACAGCGGCTGGGGCACGTGGCTCTATTTTGTGAGCTTGTCGGGTAGTACCCTGGCTTACTTTCCTTGTCTCGGCATATTCGTCGGCCAGCCGAGCCGCCTCCTTTAAATTGGCGGGGCGCCGATCTCGTACCCAGTCTTGTATGTCCGCAGCCAAATCTTGGAAGAAATGTTCCATTAAGAACAACTGTAACACCTCCTCACCCGTGTGGGCTTTGCACCCTTGGACCCAGTGAGATGCTACTCTCTGTAGTCGGTTTGCCCATTCCATGTGGGAGTCCACAGCTTTCTTTTTGGACTCCCGAAAGCGACGACGGTAGGCTTCTGGGGTTACCGCATACCTGGTGAGCAGTGCCTCTTTTACTTTTTGGTACTGCGTGATTTCTTCTGTAGTGAGTGCTCGGAAAGCCTCATTAGCTTTCCCTGACAGTTTTCCCGCCAGGATAGTGACCCATTGCTCTGGCGGTATGTGATGTAGTGAGCACTGTCTTTCAAAGTCAGCCAAATATCCATCAATTTCCTCGTCATTTTCTACAAAGGCTTTAAATGCAGTAAAGGGAATTTTCGTTACCGTAGTAGTGGGTAGCGGGGTAGGAACTGTCTGGGTAGTGAGCTGTCGGGCTCTTACCAGTTCCGTTTCTTGTTCCCTCTTGGTTTGTATTTCTTCCCTTGCTTCCCGGAACAGTTGGGTTATTAGTTCTGTAGATGTGACTGGATACAAAGCTAATCTCCGCTGCACAATTGCAGTAATCACATCGTCCTCACTGATGGGTGCCATGGGTTCAGTTACCTCCATGGACCTGTCCATCTCGTCCAGCTCCAGCAAGTCAGCTATCAGCTCCCTCCGTGGTCTGTTGCTGGCACTCCTACCACGATTCTCCAAAAGATCCTTTAGTGTGGGTCTTTTCAGCTTCGCATACTGTGACTCCATTCAGTGCTTGCTTGTTGGATAAAAGGACCATCCCACCGCTGCCACCAATGTAACGGCTACCCTGGTAGAGAGAGGGTATCGGCCGTTGGAGACGTCCTTTTTCCCTGCAAGCTGCTGTGGAGAAGTAAGCTGGTATAATCCCATTCACGATATCCAGAGTAAAAGTCAGGTTCAGCTGTAGCAGGAGCAGAATAACATTCCCAAATAATCCCCTTCCAAGAACGAGACAAGGCTACGTTTTGCAGGGTCAAGAAGATCTGAGGTCTGGGATAACCAGCCTGCTTTTTATTAGGAACAAGTACACACAGGACACTCCCAGGGGGAGGATGAAAATAACCAATTACACACAGGGTAACACCCCCACGTCTCCTCCCCTCAGATAAACATATAACATAATTATAACGTACATAAATTTACCCACATTCTGGATGTACCCCAAAAACAGGGGGTACACCTTTAAGTCCAGCACCGCTTAATAGCTACCACTCAGGGGAATAACATATTCAAATTTCAAGTCATTCGGTTGTGGGGTTCGGGAGTTATGGGTCTTTGAAGTTTTGACCGACCGCACAGGATTTTCAGCCGAAAAGAGTTCCACAAGTTTTGGCCTTGCGGTCGGTCCCCGTTCGTGAATAAAAACCCCACGAACCCCTTGCCCTCCACAGTAATCCTGCCGTTCGCCTGAATCCCCATGCATGCTTAAACAAAACTACCGAACGGCCGGTCGTTCGGTAGTTTCAGCACGAACTTACGAGCTCCTGGAGGTCTCAGCGGCGTTCGCCTGTTTGCGCATCCGTTTTTAGTTCCATGAGTTCACAGGCAAACACCGCCGTTCGTGCGTAAGATGGCCGCGAACACGTGTAAAGTCCCGAAATGGCGGCCACCTATTCTCAGACAAAGGGATTCGTCTGAACCAGGCGAACGGCTGTATTCTCCAGTAATGGTATTCCCTTGCAATAATTTCGCCATTTTCACTGTTTTAGTCCACAGGGCTTTGGTGCTGGTGAAGTCCTGTTACACCATGTATATGATTGGTTATTGTGATAATTATGTAGGTGTAGCCCTTTCCAGGGCAGCATTGCATAAAAGGAGACCCCTGTCAATAAACATCAGTTCTATTGTTACATTGTATACAATTTTAAATAAAAAGTATACAAACATAGCCAGGATTCAGCTGTAAGCGTTTGCAACACTTTCAACAATCAAGTAACACACATTCATATAAAATATAAGTTACTTGGCCAGTCATGTAAGAATGAATAAGTAGATAACTCCCTAATTCCCACGGTATCTACTAAAAGGCTGAAAGACCTAAATTGGTCTTTCAGCCAAATTTACTAATACTAAGTAAAGATTACTTAGTATTAGTAAATTATGCCCCTACTCGCTATACCCCGAGCAGGGGCATGTCTATTAAACAGTTAAAAAAAAAAAGTACCCCCTCCTGAGCCCCCTAGTTAAAAAAAAGGGGGGAGGACCTATTGTCCTCCCCACCGGCCCCCACCCCCGAGCGGCGGGTGGGGGCCTTAAACTAGAAAAAGGGGGGGACCTAATGTCCTCCGCCCTGGCCC